CACGACAATAACAATTACTGTCAACACTGCAGTACCCGCTGCTTACTTGGACTCAAATTCAACCCTGGCCATCAGGCGCAAGCTCGGTGGTCTAGAAGTATGATGCCAGGCTAGTGATCTGGAGATTGTGGGTTTGAGTCCCACCTGAGAAGAACTTGCGATTTTTTTGCAGTTGTTTTCAACTGTACTGAGTATTCGGTACATTTCCACGTCAGGTAGGGCAAAATTACACCTATACATGTTTCTCCTGACGCAAATCCAGTTATTGTCTATTATTCCATCACGACAATAACAATTACTATCAACACTGCAGTACTCGCTGCTTACTTGGACTTGAATTCAACCCTGGCCATCAGACGCAAGCTCGGTGGTCTAGAGGTATGATGCCAGGCTAGTGATCTGGAGATCGTGGGTTCGAGTCCCACTCGAGAACAACTTGCAATTTTTTTCGCAGTTGTTTTCAACTGTACTGATTATTCGGTACATTTCCACGTCAGGTAGGGCAAAATTACACCTATACATGTTTCTCCTGACGCAAATCCAGTTATTGTCTATTATTCCATCACGACAATAACAATTACTATCAATATTTATTTACTTTGCAAACATACTCCTTTGAAAGAAGAGTTGTGCACTCAACTTGTTTACAAAAATATAAAAAACAGTTTGATTTTAAAATTATAGTTGTGGGTGTATGATGATAGATTTACAAGTTAGGTAAACAACAAAAACAAGAAATAACTAAAGATACACATTTACACAAGCACTGACAAATATGTAGTTATACACGGACTAAACTGTAGGCCTACATGCAATATTTAAAAAAACTACAAAAAAAATTCATTTAAATACCCTTTAATACCATTGCAAATTAACTAAGGTAAAAGATGTGAAGGTATGGACTAAAGGTATGGACTAACTGTATGCATTTATACAAACACAAACATATCAATACAGTATACAGTAATTTTAATCTTATTACTAGTTTATCTATTCATTCACTTGTGAATTTGATTTTTGTCTCATCCGGTTCAAGCTGAGACAAGCTCAGCTTCTAAGCTTGACCCAAATTGATGGAATCTTGTACTTGTTTGTTTTCCTCTATTGATTGATAAATGTGTATTGAACTTACTGTATGTATGTTTGTAAGGGGTCGGTCACAACCATCAACATTCTCACAAGTGCACAAACGTTATGCTAGGGGGAGGGGGTAGACACATTTGTACACTTTTACAAATGCATGAAAATTTTAATGCAAAATAACATGCAATATTATTAAAGATTAAACAATTTTTTAAGCGGAACTTATCCGGGTGATCTTACTCCAGTTGAATTACCTTAGATAAGTTAAATTACTGTACCTATGGTGCTCAGTAAGTCATTTTAACACCAATAACTTTCCATTATGTTTATACATAGTTATTGAGCAATTTAGAAGGAGGAGGACCACCTCCAGCAGAAAAGACAGATATTCAGAATATACCTACAGTGAAAATCACAAAAGCTGATGTTGGTAAGTTAATTTCTTTATTAAGTACAAATGCATTTGTTGGGTTGGTTGGTTGGTCGGTTAATTGATTGAAGAATTGGTAGAAAGATTGGTTGGTTGGCTGATGGACCATTACTTGTGTGTTTTTTTTTGGTTTTTTTTTTGGTGTGAGACATCTGGCCCTCATCGACTGATTCTTTGAAAACAGTTGACATTTACGCTGCTTATGGATTAATTGAGAAAAAAATCTACTGTGCTTTTGTATTGATGGATTGTTTAATTTGATTGATGGATATTTTGACTGATTGATAATTGATTTATTTGTGAATTCATGTATTGGATAGATTTGTTAATGGGTGGATTAATTAATGGATGGATAGATTTATTGATAATTGGATTAATTATTGAATTGATGGTTTGATTACCTGATGGACTGATTAATTAATAGTCTGGTTAATTGATAGGTTGATTGATAAAAGATAAACCAATAAATTGATTATTAATGGGTGACTTGATAGATCAGTTATGGTCATTGTCTTTGTAGATGAGAATTCAGAATGTGCTGTTTGTAAAGAAGAATATACAGAATATGAAGAGGTTCGTAAAATGCCATGCGAGCATCTGTTTCATTCAGACTGCATCATACCGTGGCTGGAAATGGTGAGTGGATGCTTATTTACTTACAAGTAACTGAAATGCTATGAATGATGTGTGTCTTAGTGTAGGATGCAGAGGGGATGTTTAAGTAAAATTGGAAAACTCCATCATCCTGTCCCACCCCCAGCCTCTTCAAATTGAAAATATTTTTTTTCTAAAATATTTGTCAAAAACTGTGATTGTTCCCCACCTATTATAAACTTGGATTTTTCCAAGACTCTAATTCTGTGGACATTTATCGGGATTGGATACTCCGCCTTTCCCTACCATTATATCAAGTAACTTGTGGGCTTGAATACCACGACCTCCAGATTTGCAAGACCTCTGATTTTGTAATAGAGATTCAGTGATGGAAATAAGTGTTGATGTGTTTGTGTTGCAGCATAATACATGTCCTGTATGCAGGAAAAGCTTAGATGGAAGATATACCCGGAATGATTTTACAGCTGACGAGGATGGTCCACCTGATCAAACCGAAGACCGAAACTCCGAGCAAGCTTCAAATAACAGCACAACTAATACTATAATTAATGATTTCTAGACCTACGCAAAAAACTAGTACATTAGAATTAGCTTTTTGAATAAGCAGGTATGTCATTTGCATAGTACAACTGCAGTACTAATACTGAGCAACATAATCATAATGGGTGGTCATCACTGACAAATTAACAAATACAGAAATAGCAGTTGACTAGAAGTATATGCTTTTGGAATCAATATATTATGTTAGTCAGTTTCTGTATTTGTTAATTGTATCGCATAGTGCAAGGGTTAACTTTACAAGGAGTTCAAACTTTGGTGAAATGGCAGAAATCTTTTCATATGAGTTGGTGTAAATTATGTATTTTTTGCTTTGAAGATACTGTATTATGCATTAGGAGTGGCTCCACATTAATTTGTATTTGTATGATGACCAGAAGCATTTTTTAATAATTATTTTGTCCGAATAATATTTTAGTTTTTATATGTAGTTGCAGCAAATACAAATGTTTGGTGTGCATTCCATGTAGGATGACAGTTTGGTGACCTGATTTTTTTTTTTTTTATCTTTTGGTGATGGTAATATATGTGTCAATGATAACCTTTGTTAATTTGTATTAATTTCAGAGGAGAAAACATTTATGTAAGTTACAGCATTGATTAAAATATATTATGGATGATTTATCCTACCAACAACTTGTCTTAGATGCATCGTCCATACTTTTTCCATGTAGATGAACAAATTACTGTAATTGAGGATGGGGCTAGTTGTCAATATGCATGGGGCAACTTGTCAACCAATTACCAATCATCCATCTATGGGAAAAAACATATGGTCCTGGACAAAGCATCCAGCATTTGAGATTACTGTATGTGCTCTCCATATGAGACGAACTGTCCAGCCGACGGGGGTGTCTAAACACAACATACCTTTCTATGTATCAAAGTTTTCAAGATGATTAGTTGTATTCTAATTGAAATTGTATCACTTTTATTTTTGTAGGTGTATTTTAATCCTTATCGTTATTGTTATAAACCGTATTAACTTAGAAATAAAGGTTTATGGATGGTACAGAACATATTTCAATAACATTCAGGCCCAAAACAGTATGAGTACACTGTTTGATACTTAAAAGTGGGATTTAAGAAACATAATTGGTTGCCCTGAACTAATAGTGCAAGTAGGCTTCGGAATTTACACAAATTATTTTGAGAAGTTAATTAGACTAAAACTCATAGTATTTTCCAATCGCAGTATGTGGATGGAAAACTCTTTCAGTGCCCAATCTGGCTGCAGATATTTTAGGGTTCTAGGCCTAATTCTTATTGAAAAATCTCAATATTTGAGGCTAGTATCTTTTGGAGGATTTTAGCAAAACATTCTGACAGTGTTCTTAAGTTTTATTTCCAAGCTGCTTGGAAGACTCCACTAACGTTCCAACTAACATTTTTCAGCATCACTGATGTGCCTTACAGCAGAAACAATCCGAGGAAGCCATGGTCATAGGAGCTTTTGTCCCAATTATTAATAATAATTGTGAACTTATATAGCGCATAATGTAAAATACCTCTATGCACTTAAAATGTCAAGTGCTTAGAGGTGCTGTTGGCATTAATTTCTATATAAGTCGAACATATTATTATTATTCAAATTGATTGTTTTACACTGGTCAGTGGTCGCACATTGTGTCTATTAATTACATTCTTGTTTGTGCTTGTGGTCAGGTTGTTATGGTACTCAAATTGAATGTTAAAGATGTATTTTCTGTATTAAGCTGATATATTCAACATTTTAATTATTTTGTAATTATTTATTCAATTAGGAAATTTAAATTGATAAAATATTTTCCCATCTAATCAAATATATAGTGTAAATGACCAGATAAGACTCGGGGTGCTTATGTAATTTTTCTGGCATAAGTGAAGTATTTAATTGAAAGAGGCACTTGTTCCAATTTATTGGAGTGGTGTTATCTTAATTTGTTAAAATGGTACCATATGTTGTACATAAGCCTACCTTACATGTATAAAAGCAGTATTGTTTAGTCTTTGCATTGAGGAATAAACTAGATGAGAAATTACTTTAGAGAACCGCTCTTAGGCAAACCGAAAGAAATGTTTATTTTTATGGGCCCATTTGTACTACCACAAAAGAACTTATTTCTTAAGAATGGTTCTTTCGTGTCAGTAGAAACACCCATGCTGCCCCCAATGACATTGATTAACAAGAAGGTTGTTTGGTAATGACTTAATAATGCGCTGCAATGCTTATTCATAATAGATCTAATAAGAAACATGGCCTTTCAAAAGCAGCATTTTATTAATTAGATTATCAACTGGTAGAATTAGTTGAGTTGTGGGTGGGAGATTGGGGGACCAGAAAAATGTCAATATTTTGTTTTCTTACTTTGTATATTTAAGCAAGTTATTAGCTTTCATATGAAAAAATAATTTAAAAATGTGAATCCTTAAATTGGCTGGTAATCAACTTCATAACTAAATACTAATACAGTTCGCCTTCCAATTCGAGACCACCTTTGGTACCTAAAAAATTTAGGGTAATCTTGAGTTTCGGTCTCCATTTAGAGGGTTGGCTTAGTGTTAATAAATTGAAGATTGTTTTTTTTTTTGTTATTTTAAAAAGTAGTTGGAAACGTCTGTAAGTTATTGTTTTTGATCTGTGTTATTAAGTGTTAATAATTTATATGATTCTTTTCAATTACCCATTCAGTGTTTACATTTTGAGGGGTTTCCATAATATGACAAACAGTATATCTATGTATTTTACTGTACGTACCCTTTGAATGGACCATAAATAAATGGATTGAAGACTTTTATAGTAACAGTCATGCAAATCAGCTAAAACATAATTATTTTGATGTGTTTTTCATCTAAATTGATATTTTTGTTGTTTTTTGTTCATTGATTTTATTACAGGCCACATATCTTCATATGAATAGACCATAAATAAATGGATTGAAGACTTTTATAGTAACAGTCATGCAAATCAGCTAAAACATAATTATTTTGATGTGTTTTTCATCTAAATTGATATTTTGTTGTTTTTTGTTCATTGATTTTATTACAGGCCACATATCTTCATAATTCTGAATATTACAATCCTTTTATGTTGAAAAAAATATTGATCACATTTACAAATCAACTACACAGTAATCATATATTTATAATTACAATGATCAGTGCATATAGGCCTAAATGTTATCATATTGCATTATATGTAATTCTAATGTCCATGTCTTACCGTGAATATTAGTAGGTAAATAGAAGTTAGTCAAAAAATAAAATACAAACAATATGAGACTGTATTAAAAATATCAAACATTCAATTATTAATATTTCTGTGATTGTTTTTCTTTACTTTAACGTCCAGCAGCGCCTAAACTCGCCAATTTGAGGAGTACCTCCATGATACTTCTTAAACGAGGATTAGGGGTCATGATTGAATATTGCTGTTAAGGTCTGGTTTACACAAGCAGTTTTTCAAAGGCATTGATGCGCGTGTTTAATTTCTCTCGTGTGAACCATGATTTACAGGATTTTAATCCTTGGAGAGCATCTTTACTTCTGTACCAAATTATTTCCCTGCAAATTGACAAACGATTTATAGGCTTTGTTATTTTGTTTCTTATTTTATTGATTTAGTTCATTCGATTTGAACAAATCGATTTCTGCACATGCTGTGAAACTTTTGAAACAATCACCATTGCAACTTACAACTGCTGAGTTAAATAAAATGGTAAAAAGAAAACGTATAAAAATGTTGTTGTGTAGTGTAATTATTTTTACCGAAAGAAAGTATTTCGACATTAGGATGAATATGAAATCAAGAGCTTCCAGATAGGTTTGTTGATCAACCAGCAGATCTTTTTGTCAAATTTGTACGTTACTAAGTTGCATTTTGGCATTCGAGGAACTTGTTTTAGTTGTTGCAGCACAAAAGGTATCTACGATAGCTACGGTCTTCAGAAAACCCAATTGTGATTGCAACCCCCATCCCCGTCGTGGCGAGCTGGGAGAAAAACCACACTTCGTCGGGAAGAAAAAAAAGCTACATAGTATAGACCTATTAGATTCTAAAATGATCAGACTTTGAAACCCCTAGATTTATAGGTTGTCATCCTTTTCATTGACCGCACACATGGGTACAGAGTAAATAAATTGAACTTTGAAGTGTGTGTGTCTGTTTCGTTTCTGCAGTGATTAGTTTCATTGCGTTCGTTCCAGTTGTTTTCGGCTCCACTTTCCGATTACATTCTCTAGGTGCGGTTCTGCCTTAAGTTACGTGTCTTTGGATAGTTTTATTTTGATTGCTACTGACTGTTTGTTCAACATGCATTTTTGTATATATATTAAGTGAGCAGAAAAAAAAACCATTGAATCAAATCTCTCAGTAGATAATACTAACTGTTACAAAATATTGTGTAGTCTAAAAGAAACAATATCTTCAACATGTGTTTGATTTGCCATTTCTTTGTATTTATCTTTCTATTTTTACTATTAATAATAATTTACGTACTACATACTGTAGCCTATGTTGAGACTAAACATGTTTTGGCCTAATATCGCTGTTGTACTATATACTCGTCATTCATCTGTTCATCAGTCAGCAAACACGTTGATTGTAGTTAGTTGCAGAAACCTGTTTAAATACAATAATATATTATTAAAATAACAATTTTAACATAATAGTAAGGCGGAAGTTTTGATTCAGTAGTAATGGCGGAGAAGGAAATGAACAAAATAGACGAAATTTGCCCATTGCTGAAGAACATTTGACAAATTCAAAGTAAATTCTAAATTGTATTAATCCTTCAACGATTGAAGTAGTATCATCCATACCAGGTAACCATTTTAATTTTTGGTGAAGGGAGACAAACGTAGGTAACGTCAAGACCCTTATACCCACTGGACCGGAGGGGAGGATCCAGAGATGTCCGAAAGGGGGTGGGGCGATCGAGAGACAACACTGCCCTAGGGGTTCCGGGAAATATTTGTTTTCTAGACGCCCGGAAATAACCTCTGAAGCGTTTTGGGCGATCAATATTTTCTTTTTCTTTCTTTCATATTTTTTTTCTTTTTTTCTCGGCCCTTCAAATCTGCCCCTAAGACACTAGTGAAATGTACAGCATTGAGAGTTCGAACCTCCGACTTCAAAGTTCGAGCCCAAACCAAAATCTTTGCCCATACAATACTCCCTCATAAGCGACGTTTTGTTCATTATGTGAATACAACAGGCCTTATGTCATTTCACTGTAATCTGTAATTGTTGCTGGAATTTTTATATAAATTGACTGCATAATGGATAAGTGAACGAACTATAATTTTACCAGATTGATCGTTACGTCAGATTCAATATTCTAGCAGATCTCGTAACATTGCCATCACATCTGTGTCACGTGATACTCCTAAAATAAAAAGTATGTTTTATGTTTATTTTATTTTTATTTAATTTCCACACAAGACAAATAAATACAAGGTGGTGAGCCTAGAGTAAACAAAAGTGTTCGAAGAACGCTGTCGTCATAAGGACGTGCTACTCCGTCACCAAATCCCCACACGCAACACACAGATAATAGGCCTATACGTCATTTAAATAAACTAGGGAAATAAATTATAGGTCTACTTTCATAGATTTCAAATGATTTCTGATTTTCTGTTGGGAGAGGCGAGGGTAAATATGGGAGGGTAAAATCGTTCTGTCGAATGAACACAATATGTGTGAGGGAAATAAATCATACTAATTCACGGATTAATAAATGTATATATAACTTGTAATAAGTTTAAAAAATAAAAAAAAATTATCGATGCTCTGTCTCCTTTCCTGGTGTGTTTTTAAGATAAACCGAGAATCCAATACGAATTTAATTGTACGCCTTTGAAAGTTGACTAAAAAAGATTAATTAAAAGTGTAAAATTGCGATAGGGATAGGGAAATTACCATATCTGTCTTGACACTTGTTTCCACCCCATCCCTTGTCACAGTGGCAATATTCACCACGTCCTCCTGGTAATCTTTCACATTTACCTCTACCGCTACAAAAGGTCTCATCATTCGTGTTCCTCCAACACTGTGTACCATGACGTGCTACCAGCTCCCGTAGCAGCTCTAACGCATTCACTTCTTCTAATAACACAAATTCAAGACTAGTTAACGAGAGTGGATCAAAGGAGAAGGGGAGTCCCACATATCTCCTAAGGCACAGTGCTACAGGACTTTTGTAAAATATTTAAAAATAATAATAGGTATTTCATATAATACTGGTACAGGTATTCCTCCAATTTTACAAAAATAAAAGGTAATCTCAAAGACCACCCACCAGTGAAATTAAAACAATGTAATACCACGTTTTTAACTCATGAAAATCCTAAGTGGACTCGCATGCAATCAATATCAATTTCCGACTCAAAATGTTCCATAGACGGCACCACCACAAACTGGAATTTCTAAATTTAAAAGTACTCCGAAGTAATGAATTAAAGGGCTCCACAGATAATTCGATTAAAATTATATTAATAACGGTATTGTTTGATATTCAAATGTGAACGGGACCCTCGTAATTGACTGCTGAAATGCTTGTAGGCTCGTAACGCTTTCTCCCCCCCCCCACACCCAGCTGTCTCTTATACACATCTAGATGTGTATACCTTCCCGGGCCTCGTGCCTCCCCCAACACCCCATGGAGGAATAAGTTCTTATAATTATTTTCTTCATGAACAAACCAGCAACATCTCACCAATTTCCCTCTAGTATACAATGAGAAAAAATATATAATTATTATTTTTTTAAATGCATTGCCAGCTGTGCTGTAGCCTGTACATACCATCATTGTCACCCTCAGCGTACACTTGTGCTGTGACTACAGTCACTGCTAGTAGGCCTAAAGCAATCAAACACCTCATCGTGTTCCTGAAATTAAAAGTAAAACATGGGCTTGTTTCGTCATGAGTATTTGTCAGGGTAAATTTTATTGCATCATCTGAATATTTTAATATTTTTAATGCCTTAATTATATGCTGTTTTACCACCTATTTTTCTCATCTAAGCGAAATTTTATATTGTAAGTAGGCCTATTTGTTTTTGTCACTGAGTCCCCACTAGACAGTGATTAAATTTACTTTTGGAGTGTTCCTGTCTCATGTTCTTTTGTGCTTGTTCTTTGCGGTTTCTGTTTGTGTAAATTAATGTTTTGCGACAAATAAATTAAATTAAATTATGTTTGTGACCTTTGCCTTCCATACTCTGTCATCTCCTAGTGAGGAAAACTGTCTCATTTTTATGGACGACCAACGCGACGCGAAGCGGACCTTAGAATGGGGGACGGCCTGTCATTCATTTTGGGTATTGTCTAGGGACCTAAATCAGTGGCGGATCCAGGAATTCGAATGGGAGAGGAGGAGGGGCAGGGAGGAACTTTCACAGACGGCATGGTCTATACCGCCTCAGCCTAACTATATTTTGGGCCTGAGGTAAGACAATTTATGATTATTGCACCTCTACATGGCCGGAAATGGCACTCTCAGACCTAAATTTAATTATAATTTTTCTTTTTTCTCCATTTCTTTTCTTGAATCCGCCACTGTGAAGTTGTAACTTTTTATATCCTTTACATCTGTAGGCCTACAGATAACATGGATCAATCTGCAATCACTGAAACTGATAATTTCCAACAGATTTCGTAGCTCATTATTCAAAATCAACGGTTAGAAGAGCGGGAAAATAAAATGCCATGCATACTATAGCATTTCGCGATATTTAGGAAAGGTTTTAGTAAAATAATAGGTTTTAAAAAGTGGACTTTTTGAAAATGTGGGAGAGGGGCTCCAGGGGCAGAGGCATGGAGGGGGTTTGTGGAAAACCCTGGGAGGCTCGGACAAAGTAAAATTTTGATGGTTTTACATACTTGATTTCTCACATAAATTCGTGAATATTTAAATTTTCATTAATTTGGATATTTTGGGCGCCTTAAAAAATAACGTTATATGTCTTGTACATCTGTAGGCATACAGATAACATTGTTAATATTATTGGTGAATTTGCAATCACCGGTCAAAATCAATGGTTAGAAGAGCTGGCAAATATATAATGCAATGCATGCTATTGCATTTCTTGATAATTAAAAACGATTTTGTCAAATAGGTTTGAAAAAGTGGCCCTTTTTTTGGGGGGGGGGAGGGGGGTGCGTCAGCACACTCTGCAACTTTCCTGTCTACGGGCCTGGAAGCCCAATGCTTCTTAACTTTTTAGCTGCAATTGTTGACATTTATTTACCAACGCAATGAGACAATATTTGCACATATCGTTCACCTCCGCTTTCCATTTACTACATTTGTTGCACCTTAATTTACTTTTTCAATAGATTGAATAGATCTTCACTTGCGAATAACATGGTCCAAGTTCAACAAACAACAGGTACCGTACACTATAACTCGCTATAAACTGAGTATAGGCATAATGTGATGTTTAAATATCATTTTGCATGGCGCTTGAAAATTATTATTATCAATTATAGTGGAGATTGTCATAAGAGAATTTTCGATTTGACACGGTGTGGTCAATACGAACATCTTAACAACTTATGGTGTTTTTAGATGTATTTCATCCCACTTTTTATTTTCTTACTTATATAAAATGTTAATACCTGTACTATCCTATGAATTGTATTCAACTGGTGGGTTTATTTTCAATATTAACTAGATTTACGAAGACTTAGAACATTGACTATCAGTGCAATGTGACCATGAAAACCATTAGGCCTATGATAATAAATTTCAAAACATATCCTGATCATAATTATACAGGCCTAACTGGCATGACATTCAATTCAATGGACTTTCATGCAAAGCTCGCCTCTTGAATGTCAAAAAAGACAGCGTAAACAAAGTCCGTAGCGTTTTTGGGGACAATGAGTGCGTTTGT